AATCTGCATATAAAGAAATTCAACCTTTTAAAATTCAAACTCAATATTTTCACTGTCTTAAATTCGGCGTCTAAATTCAGTGTAAAAAGGGAAGGGTTACTTCAGGTCACAGACATTAGCAATGGATTGTGGTGTCCAACACCCAGCCAATCCTGTTACGTTTTCTTAGTCACATGACGTGACGCTTGTGGCGCTCATATGGAAGGAAAACCAGCATGACGGAGCCGGTCATGCAAGCTAACGCTAACTCAACTACAGAAAAATTAAATAAACTCACCGTTGAGTTATGTATGGTTATGTATGTTAAAAAGTTATAAGACACTAAAAAGTACTTAATTCTTAATTGAGAGTTCACATTTAATATCCTTTTAATTTTTTAATCTCTGGAAAAATGGACTGAAATACAAAACCTTAAGTTGATGTTGTTTTTCGTAAACAAAATATATAGTATTTGAAGGAAAATTTGCAGACACCTACCTCAATCGCTATTACTTATTAAACTCTGTGAGATTCTTCTCTCACCCAAATGCAAATCAAAATCATAGCTTTCAGATCTAAAGTTTTTGCCAAACAGCCATTTAAGGTCTTCACTACTCATTGCTTTAGACAAAAATCATAAATATTTTAAATGCAAAACAACAATTTAGTAAAACATAATGTAATTGCAGATGAAGGCATCAACAAAGAAAGTCTTTACTATCTTGTGGATAAAGATATTGATGAACTGATTCCAAAAATGGAACCAAGGCTGAAGAAAATCAAGGTAAAATCTCACACAGAAAATATTGTGCACAGTTTTGTTTTACCTCATTAATTATATTTGTGCTAAATATGTTTTTAAAGCTAACCCTTGTCTAGGATCAGGGTTCTGTTTCACGAAACCGGTTTAACAAACTCAGATTCAAATCCTCAACTCGGAATTGATCTAGTCTAAGGTCGGGAGCTCTGAGTTTTTCGGTTTCACAACAGCTGCTATGAATTAGTTCAGTCAACTCTAAGTAGGTCCACTCAGATTTGAGAAAGTGCGTAACAAGTTTGAAAAGACATTATCATCGGAGCCCCAAATTGACAAGTCACCGTGACAACAGGCAACAGGAAGTGCCTATTTCACTCCTGTGGAACTGTAGATTTTAATGAAGAAATGAAAAGAAAATGCAGAATGTGTT